TGGCTCTACGTCTATAACAAACGTTGTACCCTATATGGCTAAATGCGATGAAATGCGATAGCTTGCGAAATTTTGAACTGAAATATCAAACTTATTTGCAGAATTCAGAATCAACATGCTCTGTCATATGGAAACTTTGGTGTGATATCAAGTTTATAGAATTATAAACAGTCTTCCGGGGTAACATGTATGCAGGTTGAATAAGGTCGCACGCATTTCTAGAGACTTCAATTTATTTCAAGCTAGCAATATGACAATTTAAATATCATAAATATTATATCATTACTTTTATGTGCAAAAAGTAAAAATAAAGGAAAATTTAAATAAGAGGTCTATTTAGGTTTGGAAGAAAATTTTCATCATACTTGTTATCAAATTTTGATGCTTAGGCTATCAATTTTCTCAGTTTCTCTACACGAACCCTAACAATCAACCGTACATGTCTATAACAACAACCCTTAGTTTGCAAAACTTTCGGAAACAACGAGGTCGGCTCGCAAATAATATGTAGGTGGAAAACAATCCAACACATACGAACATATATATGTATATTACACATATAAAATATTTTACCTCTCTCGGTAAATGGCAAAGTTTGTATAACCATCGGGATTTGATGATGCCGCCAGGAATTGTCTGCACGGAAGCTAGAAAATAATGTAGAAGTTCGCGAACTGGAACACCGAGCGGGATGTTTTATGTAAACATTAGTATCATCGGAATACAAAAATGTATAAGATTACATAAATATTATATATTATATGATAACACATTTTATAAGAACATTCTTATGATAATATTCAATATAACTTTTGAACATTATTTTTCTTATATGGATATACTTTGATGGAAATCCGATATATTGTACATTTTGCGCCAAGTTTATGATGCAAAATCCATTGGATTAAAATATATATGAGACTATGTTATTTAAATTCAAGTTTATATTTGTGATATTATAAATATACCTCACACTCAACTGGGTGAAATTTGACCCCAAAAAAAAAAAGAAATTAGTGTACTATTACATTTAATAAAAATATATTTAAATACGTATGTATTTAAATATATCAAATAAAAGTATACTCATAAAGCCTGACAAATATTATTTGCATTATTTTGAACTATGGTTCTGAAAAGAACAGATAAAATATAAAAGTTATATCACAGCGACAAAGGCGTAAACATATTTTTAAATTGTAATAATTGATTAATGCGACGATAGGTTACCATAGAAGAATGCTATAAAAACATAGAAAATTCAAATATAAAATCAATAAAAGAATTAAAATCACAAAACAGATCACGAGTCCATGTTGAAAAGTATTATATATGGCAGGATGGATATAAATAAATCACTATTTTACCCAACTAATTTTTTTGAAAAGAATTTCAATTAAATTTTATGCATAACTTTTTTATTGGGATATAAATAAATCACTATTTTACCCAAATAATTTTTTTGAAAAGAATTTTAATTAAATTTTATGCATAACTTTTTTTATTGGCTTATATATGCATGAGGTTATTTATTCATTTGATCGCAAACTTTGACTAACGTCTAAAAACAGTCAATTTGTACACACTAGAATGTAAGCAAAAAATTGTCAAAAAAATTAATTAGTTTAAATGTTCCAATTATTAATAGCCTGGTTTATCACAGTGTAATAGTGTAGTGTATTTTTGTATAATTAATTCTTTTTCCACTAAATGACGGTCTCGATGAAGACCGAAACGTATGGATAAATAAAGTACTTGGTGTTACTGCCCGATTTTAAATAACTCATCAAAATATAATATCAACACCAAACTCACATATTTCAATATATATATATATATATATATATATATATATATATATATATAATTTATTTATTTCCAAACTCGTGTAAATCATGTGAATATTATACATGAATTTTAATAAATCAGAAATAGGAGAAAAAATGATTGGAAACAATATTGTTAATCCCTTCATTTATATATCGAAGCTTGATTGAATATTGACGAAAAAAATTAACAATGCGTACTTTATTACATCAATAAAATTTAATGCATTCTAATTAATGATTGAAATTGTGTATCAGCTTCATAAATTAAGTTTAATACTATTCATAAATTATAAATTCAAATGCACTAATAAGCAGAAATCATGCAATACATTATTAATTAGAGAAACTAATGCGAAATGAATAAAATATAGATTATATTAATGTGTATATTCCTCGTGTTATAAAAATGGATTTTCATCATATTCGATTAATTTTAATTTTATTTCAATACTAAATGTATTTGACATAATTTAAAGAATAGACAGCTTTCTCACAAAAGCATCAGCAAACATTACTAATATTTGCAACTCTTGGGGCTAAATGCTTTTTATAGTTTACTTGAATAAGAATTTAATAATAATTATTCGAATAATTTTATGGAATAATAATATCATTATCATTACATCTTAAAACGTTTTATAATGTTTCAAAAGAAATACCAATAAAAGTACTTTCGTTTTTTAGGGACGCTATATAAATTTATAACGCGCAATAAAATTCCCTAAAATGTTTTCTTGAAAAGCCAATAGCAAGGTATGAATTAGGACAGTATTCCGATAAGACATCAAAGAAAAATCTCTGAACCAACAAATATAAAAGAGCTATTAAATCGAAGGACCATAAAACAAAAAGTTTGCCAAAAAACCTTACCTGTTCTACGGATCCATAATGACGCCTGGAAAAGACACCTCGCCGAGAGATGAGTTCTGAGGCGGAGGAGCTGAAATAAAAGAAAGAAATCGTTGAATAAACCATGTCTGCCCACAAACAGGTACAGAATATGCGAATACATCAACGGCAATGTTGTTAGGAGGAATGTATACATTTGGGAGCTTTATTTCACGATAGCCATTCATCACTTAACCAAGGCATGGAGGAGAATTGTATCATGTGCTTAATGTAGGGAATTTCAATGTACAATGCCACTGGTGACGTGCATTTTACACAAGATACGTATTCACGTTAATAAATTATTGCTATGAGATGTTTTATGGGGAATAAATGTTTACTTGTATTCTACTGAATGAAATCAATTTAGTCAAAATCATGAAAGACAATTTTAGAAATAGACTTGTTTTACGTGTTCTTATTGTATCAGTGGGTAAACGTAAACGCCAAAGTTCATTGTCTGTTAACATTCTAAATTATTATAAGCCTACGAATACAGGTTTGCTTATAAACGTTCATCAATGTTTGGAATAACGTGGGTTGTTACAATTTCAAGATTTTACCGTCACAATTTCAAACATTGTTACATTTCAATTTTTATTGATTAAGCCGATTATTCACATGTATCAAAGATTTCGTAACTTACCCTTATGCAAAATGCCAATTTTTTACGTAGTATTTAATTTTCTATTGCCAAATCTTCTGTACATACTCGCTTTGAATTGCAATTAACTGTGATTTAAAGTTTTTTATTTGTTAATTATTAAACGTATTCATTAACTTCCCGTAGGGTAAGTTATAGTATTCGCACAAAAATCGAAAATGAACATTTTTATATATCTTTACGTTTCAGAGGTTTCTGAATATTTTGGCATACCTTAGAAAAAATGTATGTATGTGTGTTCGAATACAAATTTTCGTCGACGATTTCGGGAACACGGATGCAGCGATTTGAATAATTCAAATAACATTCGATTTGTATTGATAAGGAGACGTGCTGATTAGTTTTTGGCGAAAACAGATCAAGCCGTTCCAAAGATATGGGACAAAAAGTGCCAAAAACGGTAACTCAGTTTTTAAGAGAACGGATCATTTGAATAATTCAAATTTTCATGAAGGCAGGTCTAGCGGTTTCGGAGATCTAGTAAAAAAAGTAAAAAAAAGCCACCTGGCGGTCAAAAATGATCATTAGACGTATGCACAGCAAATTATCAGATATTTTATTGAGATTTTAACATTTTGTTTACATTCCTATGGGTTCCGTACCAATGCTTATCCGTTAGACGGCGGCGCAGTTAAAGCAGTACGATTGCTTTGAAAAAAAAAAATTCAGAATTTTCAAAATATTTCAAAATACACTTTTCTTCAAAATCTTTTTTTCAAAAAAGTAAATTTTTGTCAAAAATTTATAGTTTCTTAAAAATCTAATTTTTTAGAGTAATTTCTTTTCAAAAATGTCAATCTTTAAAAAAAAATGTTTTTGGTACGGGAAGTTCCAGCAATTTGCCTTAAGGCACGATGCCATTAGTTTAGTCTTATTTTTACTTCACGATTTAGAACTTTCTGATTTTTTGATTGCATCATACGTATAATCGACTTTATTGTTAAAAAAATATCTATATAATTAGAACTAAATACCATTGCAAATTTATAGATTTTTATAAATATTTTAACGTATTTGCTTTATTAAAATAATATGTAAACAAATTTAAATAAGATTTTTTATTGTTACGTATAGCAATCAGTTGTATAACCTTTTGGGTTAATTTGACTTAACAATTGTCTTATCTCTGTGTGATAAATATTATTACAATTTCTGTAGACTGCGCGAATATTTAATTGGTGTAGGAATGACCGATTAGAGCTATTTTCACTTGAAAACAAATTGCTATTTATATTTCCAAGTAAAAACCGATGTTATTACTGTTCGACGTCAGGCTCCTTGAAGCGGGATCGAACACGGGACCTCTTATTCCGGCCCAGTTGTTCCACGAGTAAGCCCCAATTAGATATTAAACGGGTCATCTCAATTTTAATATAATCATAATACAGCAAATTTATAGAGTTTATGAAATATTGCATTACATTCGATAAAAAAATATTACAAACGAATTTAATACAGTTCTAAAACTAACCACCTCAACCATAATCTTGTACTACGTTGACAAAGATCTAGAATGTCTATCCTTTTACAAAACGTTTTATTTAGTCTGTCTGTCAGAGTGCCAGAGGTTTCACAGAAAATTGAATAAAACCGAAGAAAAATAAGAAAACGTTACCTGTACCCTTTTTAGCAGACGATTTCATTGCATTATCCAGCAATACCGCACGGAAATAGAATATTGTATGAAATATGACATGGGTTGGTGACATTTACAGAAGGGTTATACCCACATTTCACAAATATGACATTGATCAAATTTGTTGAACAGATTTTGGCTGTAGGCGTTATAGATATACCAATACCTTTGAAGAGTTCAGATACTTCATTTGCTGCTTATTAGAAAAATTATATTTTTAAGGACAATAATATAGTTTTGTATTATTACTAATAGAGTAGTCCGTGATATAGTGAGATTGAATCGATTTCACCTCCGGGCAAAGTGGTATTATACAGTCGTGATTGCCAATTTATAGATCAAAAATTTATATCCAATCGGCTTTCTGATATGAAATGGCAACGAGCAAACTCTGACAATAAAGCTCCGTAAATTGAAATTGAGTTTAACTTAAACCTTAACTCGGCAGAAGACATATTATTATCATTAGTATATCAACCGACATAGAAGTGCAAACATATTGTGTTTTTCTTATATTTACCAACTGATTTTTAATTATGTTATTAGTAAAGAAGATTGGATACGGTTGTGCCAGGGTACCGTAGTGACAGTTGCATTACCAACTAAACTATATTGATTTTGAGATAGGGTCCAAAGGGAGAAAGATGTAATATGATTTTCCAAACAAGTTCCCATTATTGCTTACTAAGACCGTATTGCTTTCAAAAGTCAAAAGTGAGTTTCTATGTTCGAATTCTTTTAATAATAACTGTCAATTTGTATACAGATAAATTACATTTTTAGTAGTTTTTGCCAGTAATTAATTTTTACTTAGATGATTTACTTCACAATCAGTCATAGTGATGATTCGTATTCAAAAGTGTGCGATGAGGGTACGGTTTTGCATGCATTTCTTGTCCTTTTTGAGTGAAGGTTAAACAAATACAAAAAAATCTAACTTAACTAAGACAAAATATAAAAAAAAATAGAAAAAGAAAATTCAGTGCGAGAAAAATTGTATTCAATTACAGTATTTCAAGAATTTCACATAGACAAATGATTAAAGTACCATTTAATTTATTTTGCTTCCAGCTAACTGGTAAATTGACAAAATTATTGCTGATAAAAAAGTGACACTACCGTACCCAGTCTTTCCTATGTATAGTTTTGTTTATCTATCTTACGATAACAATACAAATCCTTATGATTATTAACTTCCCGTAGGGTAAGTTATTGTAATGGGCCGAAAATCGGAATTGAAAATTTTTACATTTCTCGACGTTTTGAAGGTTTCTGAACGTTTTGGCATACCTCAGAAAAAATGGATGTGTGTGTGTGTGTGTGTGTGTGTGTGTGTGTGTGTGTGTGTATGTATGTATGGATACAAATTTCCAGTCACGTTTCAGGGCGCACGGATCAACCGATTTGAATGGTTCAAAAAACATTCGATTCCTATTGATAGGGAAAAGAGCTGATTAGTTTTTGGCAAAGGCAGGTCCAGCCGTTTCGGAGATACGGAGCAAAGAGTGCAGAAAATAGAAATCGAATTTTTGAGAGAACGGAGTATCCGATTTGAATGATGTAAAAAACATTCAATTAGTAATGATTGGGAGAAGTGTTATTAGTTTTTGGCAAAGGCAGGCCCAGCCATTTTGAAGATACGGAGCTAAATATGTAAAAAATGGCAGTTTTTGAGAGAACTAAGCGTCCGATTTAAATGATTGAAAGAACTTTCAGCTTGTCTTAACAAAATAATTGATTTTGGAAAAAAAAAATTTTGTTCCATTTTTTTTTTTTTTTTTTTTTTTTTTTTTTTTTTTTTTTTTTTTTTTTTTAGTTTTTTGTATATCGAAAATATTTCAGATTTAATTTTTAATTCTGACTATAGTTCTAATATACTTTACAAATAATTTCAACTCTGCAATTCAGTTTATATAATTCTTATAAATATTACACAATGTTACAATATTTATAATAATCTATTTGAAAACATTCAGTATTCCTCGAACATTTCGTTACGGTACGGGAAGTTCCAGCAATTTGCCTTAAGGCACGATGCCATAATTGCCTCAAGACAGAATTCCACTTACAGCTAGTTTGATACTTATTCTTCATAATATAAATTGAATGAGTTATACAAAAAATATCACAAATCAGAAGTGCCATGAGTTTTGTAAATATGCATTTAAATTAATAGGGCTACGAATATCTATATCAATATGCACAATTCTAGTACGGTCTTTCATTATATGAAGTGACATTTGAAATTATTTGAATACAAAGTAGTTAATACACATAGTAATACAATCAATATGCATTGTTGCATTGCATAAAAGCTATTGTATATCATCTAAAACATTTCATAATTATCTAGGCGTGCACAATTTCGGTCAAAATCTCTCTGTTCGCGTTAATTGCAAATGTACATCAAATGTTCATTTTGCGGGATTAGCTTTGTACGAGGTAAACCATTATAACGAATGAACTATATAGTGAAATAAATCTGTATGTATACTATGTAACTAGTGTATTTGCTAATTTAGATATTCTATTTGGAGATAATATGATAATTATACAGTTTTAACTCACAACTATTTATCAAGTAATATATCAGTACTAATTAATAATTTTTAAAATATGAATGTATATGTAGTGGCGGACACCTAAGGTTATTTATAAACAAATCAAAAAATATTTTACGAAATGTTTATTAATTTATGATTTATGTTAGACAACAAAGTTAGAAATTAAACTAAATTGATCTTAGCAATCT